GGAGTTCAAGAAGGAACTGCATATGCCGAGTAGGGATGTAGATTCAGAATGGAACACCTAAATTTTTAAAAATTTTAAGTTAAGTCCAGGTGATGGAAATGTGAAAAACAATTTCTCTATACCCTTCTGTGGGCTGGAGCGATAGCACAGCGGTAGGGCATTTGCCTTGCACACAGCCAACATGGCCGACTCGAGTTCAATTCCTCCGCCCCTCTCGGAGAGCCCGGCAAGCTACCGAGAGTATCTCGCCCGCACGGCGGAGCCTGGCAAGCCACCCGTGATGTACTCGATATGCCAAACACAGTAACAAGTCTCACGATGGAGACATTACTGGACCCGCTCGAGAAAATCGATGAACAACGGGAGGACCATGACCGTGACCATACCCTTCTGTATTAAATTACCTGGGGGAGAGAAAAACCAGAATCTTCTTAAAGAAAGATACAGGAGCTGGAGCAACAGAACAGTGAGTGGGACGTTTGCCTTGCACACAGCCAACCTAGAGTTGACCCCTGACACCCCACCTTGCCTGTGATCCCTACCAGGCATGATCCCTAAGCACAGAGCAGGAGTAAGCCCTGAGCACTGCCAGGTGTGGTCCAAAAACAACAAATGCTCTATAGTGCTGAGAGGTAATTCAACAGGCTAGTGCATGCAGGAGATCCAGGTTCAATTCCTGACACAGCAAGCCCACAGCACTGCTCTGAGCACTCAACCAGGAGTAACCTGAGCACCACCGTGTAAAACCCCCAAAAGTTAGTAGGTGTATCTACACTAACAAACAAGAATAGGACACCATGCTGAATGAAAAATAAGAAACCAAAGCACAAAAAATTGTAAATCTACAACTGTAAAAAAAATAAAATAAAATAAGGGGGAAAAAAAAAAAGAAAAATAAATCATATAAAGTTCACTAAATCCCATTTATACTTTTTTCCCCCAGTGACCACAATTAAACCCAAAACCTCACAAAGGGCAGTCATGTGCTCTATTCCTAAGTAACAGACCAGTCCTAAAAATACATGTTGTATTTTTAAATGCGTCAGGAAGAGGGCTGGAAGAAAATATGCCAATCTCTTGGGGTCAGGGAGATAACTCATGAAGACCCAGGTTCAAATCCCAGCATCCCATATCCCGAGCACCGCCAGGAGTAATTCCTGAGTGCAGAGCCACGAGTAACCCCTGAGCATCGCCAAGTGTGACTCAAAAAGCAAAATGAAAAATAAACTGAAAATGCAGGGGCCAGAGAGATAGTACAGTAGGTACAGCGCCTGCCTTGCATGCAGCCATCTGGGGTTCAATGCGGTATACCCCAAGCATTGCCAGGAGTGTAACTCAAAACACAAGAAATCTGAAAAAGCAAGTCAATAAAAACTGTGTAAATCTGGTTATCGCGGTAGCTAAAAAAAAAAGAAGCTAGAGTAAAGAGAAGTAAAAACTATTAGCTCATTTTAAAATGCTTCCATAAAGATGTGCCTAAGCACATTAGGTTTCCTTCCTTCCTTCCTTCCTTCCTTCCTTCCTTCCTTCTTTCCTTCCTTCCTCCCTCCCTCCCCCCACCCCTTTCATCCCTCTCTCCTGGCTCTGGCACCTGGATCACTCCTGGTGGCGCTCAAGAGGCCATACGCAGTAGCAGGAATTGAACCCAGGTTGTATGCAAGGCAAACGCCTTACCAGCTAGCTGCACTATCACTACGAGCCCTAGATTTCCATCTTTAACTTTAGCAATGCATCAACTTTACATGTAATTTTCACTGTAGTGGAAGTTTATTTCTAACAGTTAATTACTTGATCACTCATAAAAAAGAAGAAATGAGGTTTAGTTCAGCCTTTGAAAATTACAGAAGGAAACACCAAGAGATAAATATGCATGCAAGATAAACCAGAAGCCGGTACATTCTAAAACCCAGTATCTTTTCTCACTACTCCCACTATTATTAGTGTGGCTCAGTCTCATTTCCCTAAAAGAGCAATGTAGGTTTGCTTCACTTACTAAAGAAGCTGCAATCTGCTAACTAAAATAAACTTTCTAAAATTGAAATTATGACTGTGCTGCTCCCCAGTTCAAAACTACCGATGGTGCTCCTGGGCTTTCAGGAAAAAGCTTCAAGTAGCTGTCTCACATAGTACAATTCCTGCCAATTATTCTGAAACTCTATCCCCACTACAATCATCCTTTCAGCACAACATTGTAATCCAAGCAGTCACTCTATCCTGGGTAACTAACCCACCCAGAATATGACTGTAAATCTACTCTCAGGATATTATTCCCTCAACCAATCTGATCACCAATTCTGCCCTGAATGAACTACTTCACCTAGGAAATGCTTCCTATGCACAAAGGCTTACTCAATATTATATCTAGTATTTTATATCTAGTATTTTAATGGCTAATGTTGAGTTCTCAATGCTCACATCTAGTGGATCAATGATGGCAGAGTTTTAAAGCACTGGTAAAGAACTGGTGTAGTTCTCTGCAACTACAAAATAATGACTTTAATACTACTTTAAACTGTGGTCTCAATAAAAGAATTTTAATTTTTTCTAGCTATATCTTCTAAATCAATAATGAAGGATCACTTTATATCTGACAAAAGAAAAATCCAACAACTGCTTTTTGAATCAAATAAGGAAGATTAAATAGAAATTTTATTTAGGTGAAGCGATTCTAATGATAATGAAATTCCTGGGTAATCCTGCAGTCATGAAAGGACAATGAAAATTTAGCAGAATTCTAGCTATTTTCCTACAAAACAATGCAGTTAATCTCAAGACCTTGTTCTACAAAAAACTTTCCCCCCATTCTGTATTCTTTAGTTCAAAGTTCAGCCCAGAATCTTAGAGCAACTGTGTTGGAGGAAAGAAATCATCAACAAAATCTGTCCTTCAAATTTTTGGTTTTGACATTTGGGTCACATTCGGCAGTGCTTTAATAAAGGGACCATGTGGTGTCACAGTCTTCTTGCTCTTAAAGTATGTGGTCTGTCCACTGAGCCCTCTCCCAGACACCTTTTCAAAATAAAACTAATCTAATGTAATCTTATTTTTTCCAAATCTAATCAGACCACACACAATTTCAAAGAGTTAATTTGAGAAAGGTCTTGCCACTGATCATTTACTCTTCCATTGCCTGAAGTCAAATCAAAGGCTGATTTAAAATTTCCTGTAGGGAGCAGGAGTGATACACTGCACTAGAGGGTCCCCTGGCTTTCCAGATGATTCCCCCCTGCCCCCCAAAGCACCATCAGGAGTAAATTCCTGAGCGTAGAGCTAGGAGTAATCCCTGAGCATCACTGGGTGTGGCTTCAAATCCAAATACATTAAAATAGAAGTCAAAATAAATTAATTAAATGATCATAAGGAAGTGGACTGTAACAGACTGATGGGAATTTGTGGGAGATCTAGAAATTCAGAGTTCTGAGGTCACTGATCCAAAGGGTCACTGAAATTATTCTCCCCATGAAAAAAAGAATCTACTTCCTTTCACTTTGCTCTCCAGTCAGCAGGAAATAAGCATAACAAAGGCATCAAGTTTAATAAATACAAGCTGAGAGGTTTACACTGAGACATAAAATGCTCAGATATTTTTCTAACAATCTGCATTTGTCGCAGCAAATAAATTTTAGACTGTCCTTCACCTCCTTTAAAAAGCAAGTAATTAACTGGGGCTGTGTGCCTGGCACACAGTCAACCCAGGTTCGATTCCAGGCACCCCAATGAGTTCCCCTGAGGCCAGCCTGGAGGAATCCCTGAGGGCGGAGCTAGAAATAAGCCCTGAGCACTGACTGGTATGCCCCTAAAAAAAAGAAAAAGAAAAACAAAGGCTTTAATGGTAGAACCATTACTTCTATTACTGAATTGAACACCCTTCCCCCCTATTACCCAAAGAGTAGGAGAAAAATATACCCATGGGTATAGTGCCCTGTAACTACAAAATTAACTTTTAGTTAACTTTCACGCTGTTGTATACTATGATACCCATTTTTAAAAAATGAGAAAAAAAGGGGGGGAACCCCCAACTTGCTCCATCCGTCTTAAAGCGCGCGGCACTTGCAAGCGTGAGAGCACTTTTCTCGAGACTTCGGGGCCTAGCCCCTGCCAGAGAGGCTTTTGCAAATCCGGAAGGCGGCCTGGGAGTTGTGATGTTTACTCACAAAGTTTAGGGAGCGGTGGGGGACACAGGGTGGCAGGCAGGCGCGTGGGGGGGGGGGGGAGCGCGACCCCTTCACATACCCGGCTCCTCCCAGCTCCTCTCTGCGCGGCAGCTGTCAATCATCCAGGGGCTTCCCCGGGACGCCCTCCCCGCGGCCGCCTCCCTCTCCCGGCGCCCACCTTGTGCCATGCACCCGGCCGCGGGGGGCCCGAAGAGTGAAACAAAGGGAATCTATCACCTCAAGGCCCGGAAATCCTGCCCGTTCCAACGGGGAGAAAGACGCCGACCATTCCATCCCCGAACCGCCTCCCAAAGGCCACGAAACCCAGGCCGGGCCCCGTGCGGCACGCAGCCGGGAGGAGCGAGGAGCGGGCGGGCGGCCGCGAGCCCTGTGCGCCCGCAGGGGCGGCGAGGCGCTGGGGGCGGGGGAGGGGGGAGGAGGAGCACGGGGGAGAGGGGGAGGAGCGGGAGGAGGGGGATCTCAAGAGCCCGGGGGCCGCTCCACCAGAGGGGCGCGCCGCCACCGTGACGGACGGGCGGAGGGGAGGGGGACCCGGGACACTCGACACCGCAGCTTTCCCTCGGGTTGCTAGGAGACAAAAAGGCTCCACGTTCCCGGCCAACGCCGCCCGGGCCCGGAGCGGAAGGCAGAGGGGCGTTCGCGGGCCCCCGAGCTCCCAGCGGGGACCCCCGGGGCGTCCCGCCCCAGGAAGCCCGAGACCCCCGCGCCGGGTGTGTGTGGGGGAGGGGGGCCTCCGCGCCCCGCCGGGCTCCCGGCCGAGGGGTCCGGGGCCTAAAGCGCCCTCCCGGCTGGGCGCGCGGCGGCGCCGAGGGCGCGTCTACTCACACGTGCTGACAGGCCGCGGTCCGCACGGGCGTCTTGAGCACCTCCTGGCACACGGGGCAATAGAAATCATCCTCGGTGTACGGGGTGGCCGCGGAGAGCTCCTCGGCCATGACGGGGCGGCGGAGCGCACGGCGATGGTGATGGCGGCGGCCGGAGCGGCGGTGGCAGCCCGGGGCCCGGCTCCCTGTGCGAACCCGGAGGGGGAAGGGAGGCGCGTCAGGAAGCGGCTCGCGCCGCCGAGGGGGCGGGGCCCGGGCGGGGCGGGGCCGAGCGCCGGGACGCCGCGACCCCCCTCGGGGCCGGGCCTCGGGGCGACGCCGGGCGGGGACGGAACGGGGGAGCGGGGGGCGGCCCCGGGCAGCCCCCCCGCCGCGGCTACCCCGGGCGCTCCCCACCCCTCCCCCGCCCCCGCCGGCGGCCTCTGACCCCGGCCCCTCCCTCACCTGGCGCCCCGCGACCCCCCGCTCACGGCCCGGCCCCTCCACGCGCGCCCCCGCGCGGCCCCGCGCTCACGTTCAGCCCCAGAGCGGCGGCGCCGAGGCAGCGGCTTCCCCCGCGCGTGCTGGAACGGGGCTGACCCTGCGCGGTGCTCGGCCTCCGGCGTCCGGCCGCAGCTGCCTGGGCGAGCCGAGGGCGGGCGGGGAGGGGCGTCCCAGGTACGCCGAACTCATCGGCCCGCAACGGAGCCGAGCCCGAAGCTCACGGCGCGCCGCGATCCCACCGGCCCTGCCAGCTCTTCCTCGGCATTGCGCCGCCTGCAGCCGGCGCGGCGGGTCAGCGATGCCGGGAGGACGCCGAGCCGCGCGCGGCGGGGGCGGGGCGGGCCGGGGGCGGGGCTCCGAGGCCGTCTCCCGGGCAACCGGCGCGTGGCGCTGGCCGCTGGTTGTGACATCAACAGCTGGCTGCCCACCTGTCGCCCGCGGCCTGCCGGCTAACAGGAGCTCCTTTCTCCTGGCTCCTGTCAAATACTGGCGGGGAGGTTTTTTTTTTTCCAGATATTAACCATTTAAAAAATCATTTCCTAATTTAAAGATGTGGTCCATACTCAAGTAATATACGTTGTGAAATTTTCATCCTTGGAGGGAGAAAAATGATGTGTTTTGTTTTTTTTTAAAGATTTTGTGAAAAAAAAGTTTTTCAAGTTTCATGCTCTACCGACTTGGTCTAGCAAGATGCTATAAAAGAAAAATTTTGGGGCTGGCGTGATAGCACAGCGAGTAGGGCATTTGCCTTGCATGCGGCCAACCTGGGTTCGATTCCCAGCGTCCTATATGGTCCCCCGAGCACTGCCAGGAGTAATTCCTGAGTTGCATGAACCGGGAGTAATCCCTGTGCATCACCAGCTTTTTGTGACCCAAAAAGCAAAAAAAGAAAAAAAAAATGTTTTAGGGGATGGAGAGAGAGCACAGGTGGCAGGGTACTTTCTTTGCACTCGCCCACCTGAGTTCTATCACCGGCATCCCATATGATTCCCTGAACACTACCAGGAATAACCCCTGAGCAACGACTGGTGTGCCCACCCTACCAAAAAAAAAAGAAGGGTTTAACTTTATCTTTCAACAAGGTGTAACTGACCAATCCTAGTCACAGATGCATGCTTGGACCCAGGCCTGTTTGGTTTTTGATAGTAATAAAAATGAGGGAGAAACGTGAATCTTTTTCTTTTCCTTTTGGGACAACATCTGGAATGCTGTAGGGTTACTCCAGGCGCTGCACTTAGGACTTAGTCCTGGTGCTACTGTGGGAGAGGGAACTCGTCTTTGTGGGATGCCTTGGTTGGCTCCATGCAAGGCAAACACCCACCCTCAGCCCCCGTACTTATACTATCACTCCAGTCCCAGGAGCGTGTATCAAAGCGTCTGTACCAACGTTATTCACTTCTTTTTCTTAAATGGACTCTTAATTTCCAAATACAACCACACAATTGATAAATCTGTAAAATGGGATCACAACTCCATCTGTGTTAGGAAAGTGGAATATCATAAAGCATCCTCATAGAGATAAAGTTTCCTAAGCCTGCTTTGTTAAAACTGCCAGAATATTAAGTGTTTCATTAGCAGTGGCTGTACTGGAGATAGGAAGTGGAATAACTGGATTTGTATGGACTTAGATAAAACCCTAAGAAAGAAATGGGTCTTAATGTGTGTCTTAAAATGATGATTCCTAGAATAATTCTGAATAGTGTGTCAGATGAACAGCTGATTTCTTTTACCAAAATCCCAACAACATTTAATATTTGGTTCCCTTTCTTCCTTAGCAAGAACAGTGGAAGCAGAACAGGAAAGCTAATTTTAGCTTCAGTTTTCCTGGGCGGAGGGAGAGCACTTGATAGGAGGGGCAGCTAATAGCTGCCAGGTGCTTTCCAAGTTTACTTATAAATGGTTCTTAGATTCTAAATTGTGTCTTTTTGAAGATATGTTTACTATGATTTCCCTCATTTTACCACTTTAGGAAGTAATGTAACATTGTGCTTAATTTAGGAATACCCTTTACTTGTTCTTATCCCTAATAAGAACATCCGTTTTGTGACTTTTTTAGGTTTTGGGCTATAAATGGCTGTACTCAGAATTAATCTGGATTTCTTCGGCACGTGCAAAGCAAATGCCTTGTCGCAGTGTTATCTATCCAGACCATTTTCACTTTTTAACTTTAATTCTATTGAGACCACACCAAATGGTGCTGGGGGCTACCCCAAAATGTTACGTTGAGAGCCAACAGCCATACATTGCCAGTAGTGGGATTCTTGGTCTTGTGCATTGCCTTACCACTTGAGCTATCACCTTGGACGTGGCTGTCATTCAATTTGTTTTATTCTTACTTATGCCCTATCCCAAATCCTAGCCACTAGGGCTGGAGCAATAGCACAGCAGGTAGGGTGTTTGCTTTGCATGCAGCCAAGGATTCCTCCGCCCTTCTCAGGCGATTTGCTCATTGGTTTGCTCATCGATTTGCTCCAGCAGGCACCAGTAACATCTCCATTGTGAGACTTCTTACTGTTTTTGGCATATCAAATACGAGCTTGCCGGGCTGTCCGAGAGAGATGGGGGAATCGAACCCCGGGTGGGCCGCATGCAAGGCAAACACCCTATCCGCTGTGCTATCACTCCAGCCAAATAAGGTTCTAAGAAAAAGTTGTTACCCTCTGAGAGTTACACCAAGAAAAATGAATCATAATTGTCAAGAATGCAATCGTATTGCATAAATGCAATTTTTAATTTCATATTAAAAATTACTTGATAGTTGTATAAACTATCTTATCATCTCATTCCTAATTTGGTCAAACTAGCAGGCTACCAAATGTAACCAGCCCACACGGCAGAGTCTGGCAAACTCCCCGTGGTATACCCAATATGCCAAATACCAGTAACAATGATGGGTCTCATTCTCCTAACCCTGAAAGAGCCTTGAATATGGCACTTTAAAAAAAAATCTCAGGGCTAGGACGAAGAAGACGTTACTGGCACCTGTTCGAGACAATCGACGAACAACAGGGTGGTCGTGGTTGTATAAACATGTCAGATTTACTCAGAATACTTTCTGGTAGCACTGTCACTATAGCACTGTCCTCCCGTTGTTCATCAATTTGCTCGAACGGGCCCAGTAACATCTCCATTGCGAGACTTCTTGTTAGTGCATTTGGCATATCGAATACATCACGGGTAGCTTGCCAGGCTTTGCAGTGTGGGCGAGATACTCGCGGTAACTTGCCGTGCTCTCCGAGAGGGGCAGAGGAATAGAACCTGGGTTGGCCAGGCCGGCCACATGCAAGGCAAATGCCCTACTGCTGTGCTATCACTCCAGTTCAACTTATTTTCTGGTATATAATAAATTATCCATAACCTCTGGATAGTAGCTGAGATACCCTGTTAGACTAATTTGACAAAATTAACCTATAATCACTCCTCTGCTCTCCTCAAAATGACATCTAGCAAGATAAAAGAGCAGATAGGGGGTTGATGTCAGGAACTTAGGCCTGACAAGGGAATCCAATTTGGTCCCAAGAACTAAAAGGTCTCGGGATTTTCGCTGAAAGTTTTTGCAGTGAGGCTGTATTCTGAGATGCAGTGAATCTGAATATTAGCTTTTGTAGATATCTACACGTGAAGCCCGCTTAGTGTCACCAGCACTATGACACCTCTGAATTGCTCCCATAAGGAAGGCCACTCAATAGACACTTACTCTTGGCACAGCTATTTTTCCATAGCATCCCTTGAGAGCACTCTACTCCATCACTCTGAGAGGGAGACCCATTCTGCCTAAAAATTATGTCATTGAATTTCCTTGAAGGGCGACTTCCTGGACTGGTGATGAGCAGTGTAAGAAGCCCAGGCCTTGCAGCTTCCCAGCTCTCAGTGTTCCCTTCAACCTATCTATCACGCCTTGGCCTCCTCTGTCTCTTTTCTAACCACTTAATCCCCTGGGTTGGAAAGAAGAGACTTTTCTCGTAGCTACCTACTGATGATTGGGATCTCCCTAGCGCAAAACGCTTCTCTAGGCCACGTAACAAGGACCCTAAATGGGAAGATAATTTTGTTTTAAAAGTTCTCTTCCTTGACAAAACCTAGCTTTGTCTGACTGCAGAGCCTCCAAAGCCTGTTTTGTTGGTGAAAGCAGTCTGTTTCTTGGAGAAGTGAACTGCTCAAAGTGGGCGCTGGACTGGGAGGGAAGCTCATGTTTCACTCCTTACCCTTTGCTAACTCTTCTAATCAATACCATCTGTAGTGTTGTCATTCAACTGGCTTGCAAGCAGTAGAGGCTCCACTCATCTTTTTTAACATTGTCAATTATTTTTGATAGGTAAGATTTTATTTCATAATGTATTTATGAATAATATATTGCAAAACTACAAGACCCCCTCATTTCAGGGAAGCGACTTCGCCCAACTTCCCTTTATGTGACGAGGGTTATGATTCTTTATCGTATAGTATCCCAGCTGTACTGTAACCCCAACATCATTTCTATACGTGGTGTCATGATGTAAACCCAATGTCATTTCTGTACTTGATACCAAAAACTGTACTGTCTCATGCTAGATAAGAAGTCACATCTCCGCAGAGGCTCCTTATAAGTGTTCTTGCAATCCCTGATCCCTGGCCATTTAGTTCAGGTACTTTGCTTAACCATGGTCTTCGGTCTGGCCAGCCAGTATAAATAAAGACCTTCTTTTTCCACCAAATCTCCGTCTAGGTGTGTTTGGTTAAGAGAACTTTGGTTATAATAATAATTGTGAAATAGAAAACTCAGCCATATAATTTCAAGAGTGCCGAGTTCCTTAAAAAAATAATAATAATAATAAATAAATGCTGCAGGCAGTTGGGAGAGAACTCTACGGTCTGGCCTGTATGCTTTGTATGAGAAGACAAAGATTAGTCCAGGGCAACATAAGATTGATTCCCTAGCACCAACCCAAGGGGAGCTCGGGAGCATTCCCGGGTATGATGCCAAAACAAACAAAAGAATGCAGAAAATCACATTTATGCATTTAAATTTTTGTTTTGTTTTGGGGCCCCATTCAGGGATGCTCAGAAACTATTTTCAGTTTGGGGGACCATGTAGTGCCAGAGATTTCATCTAGGCCTCCTGCATGCAAAGCATGGGCTTAGCCCTTTGCGCTTTTTCCACCCAGAAAAATATTTGTGTGTGTGTGTGTGTGTGTGTGTGTGTGTGTGTGTGTGTGCTTGTATGTAATTTGGGGGAGTCACACCCAGCAGTGCTCAGGGGCTATTCCTAGTTCTGTGCTCAGGTGTGACCCCTGGTACTTGTTGGGAGCCCAAGGATTGAAACAGAGTGA